AGACGTCAGTTTCTCACACAATAATATGGCGTTCAAACCATCTTATGATCTATTCAAAAAAGCTTCTGCTAATACAAAACCGTAATCCTTCCGTGTCCGTGTGGTTCGTGTGGTGACGGATTAAGAATACAGAGTGTCACCACCCCTATTCATCCCGTTGGTGTCGTAACAACAACACTGCAGAGAGAAGGAAAACTTGACAGAAGCCCTTTTTTTTTTCTTTTTTTTTAACGTGTGGAAATCCCCTCGGACCGTCACCCCTCCGGAGTTTGCGGCGGGGTGGTGTGTCGGACTCGGACCGACTAAAACCACACGGTGTGCCACTCTGCGCCTGTAACAGGAGGGATCCGGGAACAGCTGTTGTTAAGACATCCGGACCCCTCCTAGCGCCAGCCCGCTCCTGGTGCGGGCTCCGTCTCAATGTAGATGTTCCTCTCTTTAGGCGACGTCCGGCACACGCGGACGCCGCCCCCTCGCGGCTGGCCAACTAATGCGGGTGGAGGGGAAACCCACCCCGTCCACCCGCGGCCACACTCAGGGCGGCATGAGGCTGTGGTAGGCGGGCCTCCGCCGCCCGGTTCGCCGGCGGCGGATCGGGTCCGAGTGGAGGTCGTCCTCCCGGGTCCTCTCCGCCGCCTCCTTCCGCGAGATTACTACCTCGCAGAAGGTTGCGACCGCGGTAAAACAACTGTCGCTACCGGCCATGGAGCGTACTACGGCCGGTAGCGAGAGATCCACTCCGATGACTGCAGTGAGGGCCCGGCGCTGCGCCGCCCATGCGGGGCAGACCGCCAGCGTGTGCTGGGCCGAGTCCTCACTGCAGTCGCAGTGGTGGCAGGCGGGACTCAGTTCCCTCCTAGCGACCGTGTGCAGGTACTTTCCGAAGCAACCGTGCCCGGAAAGCACCTGCGTCAGTCGGAAGGAAAGGGTCCCGTGCTGCCGCCCTGCCCACTCGGCGATGACCGGCTGGAGAGCCTCCACGGCGGCGAAGCCAGCGCGTGGAGTCTCCAGCCGGAACGACCAACGAGCCATTGTGGCTCGGCGAGCGGCTTCGCGCCACTCGCGCACATCCTCGAGCGGAGGGCGAAATCCGCTCTCCGCCCGGGAGTCAGCCACTCGCCGATAAACTTCGGCGAGCACTTCCGCCTCCAAATCCCACGGGGGAGTTCCGGCCAACGCGCATGCCACCTCCGTAGAAACGGTGCGGTAACCGCGTATGGCTCTGACCGCCATTATCCTCTGAGGGCGCCAGAGGCGTACCCTATTCTGGGCGGTCAGAGCCGCCGCCCACACCGGTGCACCGTACAGTGCCATTGACCGGACAACCCCCGTGTACAGCCGTCTTGTCGCGACGCTGGGTCCACCCATATTGGGCAGAAGTCGCCCTAGGGCGGACGCAGCGCCGACCAGCTTTGGAGCAAGCTGTCGGAAGTGCTCGTCGAAGAGCCACCTCCCGTCGAGGATCAGGCCCAGATATTTCATCTGGGCCCGAACCGGTACGAGGACCGAGTTGACCACGATTGAGGCGCCAGGGGGTGGACCACGACGGGGCCCATGGAATAACAGGGCCTCCGTCTTATCTAGGGCCACCCGTAAGCCCAGCGCCTCAATGCGCCCGACCACCAGGGAGACTCCCCCTGTGGCCAGGCGCGCCGCCTCTTGGAAGTTTGCCCCCCGGGCTGTCACGAGGGTATCGTCTGCGTAACAGATTACACCCAGCCCGGGTGGGAAATCGGCGCGAAGGGCCCAGTCGTACCCTATGTTCCACAAGAGGGGTCCAAGAACAGACCCCTGTGGAACACCGCACGACATGGGCCGACACCTCAAATTACCTTCTCGGTCCTCGTACACGACGGTACGCTCATCTAAATAGTCTGCCACCAGCCGCCTCAGGTACTTTGGCACCCCATGATAGCGGAGTGCTTCCCTGATGCAGCTGAATGGCAGACTATTGAATGCGTTGGCGATGTCCAGTGACACCGCCAACAGCACGCCGCCACAGCTCACGGCCTCTTCGGTCACGGCCCTCAGGCGCAACACGGCGTCGACCGTCGAACGCCCCGCCCGAAAACCAAATTGGGCGTCCGACAGATCGGGGCCCACCTCGCAGAGGTGCCGGACGATGCGAGCAGAAAGAACCCTCTCAAACAATTTGCCCGCCTCGTCCAGCAGCACGATGGGCCTATAGGCCGCGACCGAATCGGCAGGCCGTCCCGGCTTCCTCAATAGGACCAGCTTCCCGCTCTTCCAGCACTCAGGGAAGCGTCCCGACGCCAAGCTAGCGTCGAACACCTCCCCGAGGCGGTCTGCCATGTGGTTGAGGGCCAGGGCCAGCACTCGGGCCGGTACCCCGTCTGGCCCAGGGGCGGTGTTCTTGGAACGGATCCGTAGAACAGCCGCCCCTACCTCCGATTCCCAGACGGGCGGAACATTATCCTCCCCGTGCTCCCCGTCGTCTCCGGCCAAGGAGGCCATCGACGGGGGAGTGTGTTCCGCTCGTTGTGGGAAAAGGCCCTCAACCACTTCTCGCAGGAAGCTGGGCTGGAGAGTCTCCGTAAGGGGGGGGCCCGACGCGCGGAGCTTTTGTCGCACCGCGCGGTAAGGGCGACCCCAGGGGTCACGATTAAGACCCTCCAGCATCTCCTGTCTTTTTTCTTCTTTTGGCGCGGCTAATGGCCAGCTTCAGAGTTTTCCGCGCCCGTCGGTACTCCTCATGAAGCCGGTCCTCCTCACCGTCTTCACGGTGACGCCGCCGACTGCGCGTGTAGGACCTCCGGGCACGTGTACAGGCCGCACGGAGGTCCGCCAGCTCCTGGGACCACCAGTAGACCTCCTTCCTTGGAGGCCGACGACCTCGAACGCGGGGCATGGCCGCATCGCATACATGCGTAATCGCATCGCGAAAGCGGCCAGCCCCCACGTCGACCTCCTCGGTCGGAGCCTGAGGAGACAGCCACGAGTGAATTATGGCTGCCTCCTCTAGTAGGTCCCGGTTCAGCCTGGCAACAGCCCACCGCGGAAAGCGGGATAAACGCCGTGCCACGTGACCCCTACTGGAGTCCTGGGTCCGGGAGAGCTCAAATCGGATATACAGGTGATCCGAGAGCGTCTCAACCTCTTCCAGGACACGCCAGTTCCTTACTCGTGCGGCGAGGGCAGGGGTAGCGAACGAGAGGTCCACTATCGACCCCCCCTGCTGTCGCACGCACGTGTTGGTGGAGCCTCTGTTTAGAAGACAGAGGCCCACCGAGGCCGCCCACTCCTCTACGGCCTCGCCCCTGGCGTCCGTCCTGGGGGAACCCCACGCAATGGACTTTGCGTTGAAGTCCCCCAGCACAAGGACGTGCCCAGACGCTAGTCGCCGTATCGAGGTCTCCAAGCTGGTTAGGAAAACCTCGAAGTCGTTCAAACTCCGGTTGGGGGAGAAATAGACACCATATATGGTGATCCCCCCCACTCGACGGCAACATATCCAGTGCCCTTGTCTCTTAGCGACAAGGGCGGGGAATGAGCCGTCGTGGAACCGACGACTGCCACGGAGCCGTCCCAGTCACCCATCCAGTTTGGACGGGGAGGGACAGAATAGGGCTCCGCGACTACGGCAACACCTATCGACCACTGTGCCATGGTTTGCAGGAAGAGATCCTGCGCCGCGGCACAGTGGTTCAGGTTCGTCTGGACCAGGAGGTTGGAGACTTGATCCATTACTGGATCGTCTCTACAACCTCCTCCATGGGCGACGACGACGACGCACGTACTACATCAGAGGCAGCCTGGGTCGACTGGCTAGCCCCTGACGTCTGCCGAGAACTGCGGGGAGGCTTGCAGCCTCTCTGCCCCATCTGGTGATTGGCGGGCTTATTGCCCGCCGCACACACTGGGCAGTGAGGGGCGGCAGAGCATTCTGCCGCCTTATGCCCCGGTTGACCGCAGACAGATGCCCTATACCAACCCGTCTGGCCAGCGTGGTATAGTAGGCCAAAACCTCCTTTCTAAGGAGAGGCCTATGTCTAGTAGTGGACTATTAAAGGCTGTTAATGAATACAAAATTTGACTTACGATTTGGAGATCAACGAGTAAGACATAGTAGTTACAATCACTGAGTTATCTTTCTGGTTTGTATCAATATATGTATATGTGTGTACAGTGTAAACGTAAACCTAAACGTACATTTCTTTATTATTCTAAAACTTACCTCATAATTAGAAACTGTTCAAGTGACAGTTTTGGTCGAATTTCAGTTGAATATCTTTACTTGTTCACACAATCTCCTGATCTAATATTCCAAATCCATATTATTATACAAAAAATCGTGAGATAACAAAAGTAAACTACAAATACAACGCTAATATTACTGACGTAATAGCGAACAACAACTTTCTTGTCGCTATACAGTCTGCCATTAAACCCAAGGTCGTGACCGAACCGTTACCAAGCAACCTACCGACATCAAACCTTTTCTACGTTTAATTTAATATTATTAATGATCGCTTGGCATGGATTATGCATTAAAATGTTATTAGCTGTAATAATCGTTTTTTTCTACTCAAATAAATGTTCTAAGTGATTGTGTTGAAGGTCCCATGTTGGGCGCCATTATCTTTTACGATTACAGGATGTAATAATTAAAACTTTTGATAATTAATTGTTTTTGTGTATTCCATGATAAACTATTAATAACCATTCTAGTTCAATTTGTATTTTCTACGCCGGAGTGGGTGTTTTTAATCCCTTGGTGGGTGCCACTAAGCTTTTAAATATTTTTTTACAAATCCTTAAATAAATTATTCAACGTGCAATAAATTTGCATAGATTTGGTTTTATTTTCACGGTCGTAAAATATCGGTATCAATTTGATTTATCAGTTGGTTTTATGACTATATGAAAATATAATGAAGAAAAGCAGACATTTTGGATCAACTCTTTTTATTGATTTTCATGTAATTTATCTCTATTTCTAGATTTCGTTGTGTGTAAGTCGCGATAACGTAAGTCTTATATTATTTCAGGAATCTCCACATTATCCGGATGCGGATCACCCGACCAATTGGATCGCTTGCCAGAGCTGCCGGCGGCCGAAGAAAAGCGACTGCGGCGTGCTGCACAAGTCTTGCAACAGCGCCTTGTGCTCCGTCAATGGCTGTCCACTCATAAGCTGCAACACGCATACACCAAGTAAGATGATTTATCGTGAAATTATTTGGAGATAGTTGTATTCGTATCTTGAACTTGGGCATTATATACCTGAGTACAGCTTGTACCGTCTAAAAATATTTTCGGATTTATTAAAATTGTCTTTAAGACTCTCTCTTCCGATATCAGATTATGCTGATGCCAGTTATCTTGATTTAACAACGGAACAACCTCAAATCTGGTATCGCAACTCGCTGAAGTGACTCCTAATCTACCTTCTACAGAATACTCACATTATTTCTCTACTTTATTCTATTTTAAGAGTATAAAACCTCCTCACGTCCTCTTTTCTCGACTAAGGGACTCGACTCGATGTCGACTATTATATATTCAAAAATTTTGAGACCATCCGAAAACTTCCAACTTCCAACAAATTCCAGTTCCTTTTCACAAAGTTCGCCGATAAATTCTTCACGGTTAAAGCAAATGCACTGCTACTCTCTACCAGACCAGCTCAAACATTCACAAAAATCGTTAAAGTATATTACAGTTCTACTATGTAAACTAATAAATTCAACACGATAGGAATAATCTTTGTAATGATGATATAATCAGTAAATGTAATACACACAAACCCTGACTTTTAAATGTTACAATATAGGCATAACACACATCTATTAATGATCCTTTTTAAATGTAGCGACTTAATAAAAGTTTTAAAGGCATAATAGCCTAGTTTAATGATTGGAAGAAGGCTTTCTGAAGTTGCTCAATTTGCGTAATTTGCAAATTTATGTTCCAGACATGATGTATAAGCTACGCTTAGGAAAGTTTGTATAAAATAAAGTTGCCAAGTATAATTGTAGCGCCAAATCAGACCAGCATAAAATGCACCTCTTAAACAGCAAATTTGAGGTTGATAACGCAGTATTCTTCGATTGTATTTCTGGTAATTACCATCATTACTGCCGTCGGTTCGTGCGATTGTGCCGTATGGCATAAATAATTGATGACCATTTAATTACAACCTTGGCGACCTCGATGTCATAATCCTGTAATTCTGTTATGAATGTTTAATCTTAATTTATCCTTATTAATATAGAGACTTGTGCCAAGTGGAACATAAGGGATATAAGGGACCTTGACATTGTCGTTCACATTATATCATATGAAGACAAGTAAAGATAGCACAATTTGCATGTAAAAGCGAACCTTTTTCGTGACGAATAATAAATCTGATGTTTTCTTTAAACACGTTTAGAAAAGTCTCACAATATATATACGAAGTGTGTCATCTGTCTTGATCTGTTTATCTGACAGCTGCTCTCAGATGCTTATAGCAAACGAAGCAATGATTGATTTTCTTCTAAAAAGTTTACTGAAAGCGTTGAAACTTCAGGTGTCTATGTGATACTAACCAACTTCAGTTTGTGACACCGTTCACACGCCTCAGAATAGTTCTACCTTTTGTGGAAAGTGTGTCAATTTTGATACAAGTGTTGGCTTTTGTTTGTCGTCGACGTAACGTACAATACCCGACAACTTATTCAATTCAGTCCGCAGCTACTGAATATATATTATATTTAGTTGTATTGACACCGATGTTAGTGAAAGATAAACAACAGAATACGTCTGTTCTTACTTTCTCAATTTAATTGGATAATAAAGATTCAATTACTAAAAGGAACTTCTTCTTCCTCCGAGCCTTTTTACTAGGTTGGGGTCGGCTTTAAGTATACTACGATACGGCTGAACTTCGATTGTTCTGACCCCCTCATAACCCAAATACTAGGCGGTATCAAAGTTCTGCAGAAAGACAGTTACCGGACTTTTTAGGACTGCAACTACCCGTAACGATTGCCAAAAATGTTCGTATGGCAATCGGGACCTACAGCTTATCGTGATCTCTCTGTGTTAAGATTGGTCACCCATCCATAGGTTGACCTGGCAAGAATCGCTTAACTTTGCTATGTGTTAACATACTCGGTTACCATTTAGCTACGAGCCCCCAACTAATAGGAACTTAAAACAATTTATTGTACCATTTTAAAAATAACTAGCAGAAAATAAAGTATTATTTAAATTGTCTATGGAATTTTAATATCATTTTGTGCCACCTAACTGAAAACAGAATTAAAATTTTTGAGATCAGTATCCAAAAATAATAAAAATGATATTTTTTTCATAATCTGTGTTATTAGGTTCGCAGCTGTTAAAGTAATAATGTTATTGGGGAAAGCGTTCTGAGAAAATTTAACTTCATTCTATATTCCTCTCTAGCCTTGCGTTTTGTAATGGTTACAATCTGTGCTCTTTGCCCAACTTATATGCTGCATCCATGTATCGATCTTAGCGGGAAATGCGGCAACTGTTTTTACAACATTGTGTTCTAGCATATTAAAGACTTGTCTTGAGATACTCTTGACACATTTCTTGAATCAATCCAATTCCAAGCTACTTTTTGATTTCGAAAATTAAACAATGACGTAACGAAAACTCTTGATTGGCTTTCTGGATTACTGCATTAAAATTTCACAACAAAACACAATCCAGGCTCGATGCTCTATAACGATCCAACGTGTTTCCATATTCATTGGCGCTCGTCCCTTCCCAACTACAACACGTATTGAAATTTTTATCTCTTGTATTCATGTAGTCATTAAATGTTAGAGGGAAACTTTGAGATTCACAAAGCTTTTTTTGCACTTTTTATCTTTTGTATATATAGTAAATTTAGTTTTAAGACCGCCAGCTTTAGACTAGCTTACCACTTTAGGGTCACCCCTTTTTAAACAATTGCTACGGTAAAGACAAGAATTTTAAAGTAGGTTAGTATATAGATAGTTTAAATTGCTCCAGATTGATAAAAAAATTGAAATCCTATTAAAATCAACACACATTACCTTTAGCTTATTTTGCATTACTACTGTTTTCTAAAACAAATCTTTTGCCATATTTCCTATTACCACCGGGTTTCCTATAGACTTGATATTCCAAGTAAATGTACTCGCTTGGAGTACATCTAAATGCGTAGTCCTAGCGGTTTCAAATCCGCTGGCGGGCGAAAATTGGACACGACAGCAACTATCAATAGATACCCACCTGGCGCTGTCTGAGCATTGTTCGTTGCAACTAGGTCAACAGCTATCTTCGTGAGACCACTTATAGTCTTTTCTGTATAGACTAACAAGTCATTGTATAGATATTTTGGAGTAAAATGAATGCTAGAATTACAGGAATTTCTTGTCTCGTGAATGGAACTCATTTGCATTTGTGACTTTTTTAGAGTCTCCGAGTTTTAACATTCAACTCTTTTCATGGAATCTTTAAATTGTAATTACTTGCTCAGTTAGTGTGTCTAGTATTTACTATACATGCGAATTTGTCATCTTTTTATGATACTCGTAAGTGTGTCGAGTGCTAGTTTCATGTCATGTTTCCAAAACACCAACAATATTCATAAGTGAATGTAGCTATTTGAAGCTACTGTAAAATTTGATCTGTTATAAAATTCTATGCTCCATGATCTTGCGGTAAATATACCGCAATCATTCAAAAAACTGCACTACTGTGACAATGCAGTCAACAACCCAAAACGCTAGGAGAAAAATTTTAAACTTTGAAGTTGAACGAAGACGTTGCATAGAGTATGAAGTAACATCATCATCACTATATTTATTATTAAATTTATATATGTATTTCACGTGTCCGTTGTCCGTGTGGTGACGGATTAAGAATAAGGAGTGTCACCACCCCTATTCATCCCGTGGGTGTCGTAAGAGCCGACTAAGGGCGCAAAACAACGCAGAACACCAGCACTGCAAAAAGAAGGAAATCTTGAAACAAACCCTATATCAACCGGTTTGGCAAGCGTGGTATAGTAAGCCAAAACCTCCTTTCTAAGGAGAGGCCTATGTCCAGCAGTGGACTGTTATAGGCTGTTGATGTGATGTATTTCACGGTAGAATAACTCTTGATACATATACTTTACTTCACGCAACCAAAGATGTTTATTGACAAGTTTTTTTTAATGGTATAAGGGGGCAAACGAGCAGACGGGTCACCTGAGATGGTAAGCAACTACCGCCGCCCATGGACACTCAAAAGACACAAGTGCGTTGCTGCCCTTGGAGTCCCTCCCGTTCGAGTCAGCGGGAGGGGGGGTTTTTATTGCTTAACACTTAACAAGTAGTTTGATTGTGTATATTTGTAAATAATAGTCAAATGAGTCCATGAAAACAGTAGCGTTTTTGTCCTGGTACATTAAATGTTTCTTTGCAAAATAAATTACAATTATTGTTTAATAATTATAATATGTATTTTCCATTTAAAAACACGAGCTGGCGCCCATTCCATATCCAGATTAGATGCAGTATGTGGGCCAAATATCCAATAACTTAAACGACATCTTCTTTTTTGAACTATCAATCATTCATCGTAAAACCAGCTGATAAGGCCGCCAAAATTTTATTAAACTCGGTCATCTATAGATTCTATAGCGTCCAAAGGACATAAAGAAAATACGAGTAGTAGCGATTTATACGCATTTTCACTTAATTCTGGCGCTATGACGGGTTGCTCGATTTTCACCTTTAACTGATTTATTTTTATTCATAATAAAAATAAATCAGTAGCTAGGATATTTTACCTTAAAATACTAATTTACCTAAAAACTTAATTTAACAGCACTGCTTAAAGAGCGAAATTGCACTATCAGCGTGAGATAAGCTGCAGTGAGCGGACCAAAAGAAACTTGACGCAAAGATACAAAATTGTTGTTTTAAAATATCTAAGTATGTTACTCTCATATCAAGGAAACAATTTTTTTCTTCAACCCAGAGCTTTTGAAATAAGAAATGTTGAATCTGTATACCTATGCAATCTTACAGTATAACTGGAAACCGTTTAAGTATAATTTCGTACTCAATTGATTGAATCTTCCAGAACAATAACGTCAGCTTTTTAAGTTATCTTCTCACGTACATCCTAACGTGGCCTACGTTTGATGTATGGCAATCTTTTGCACTCCATTGAATACTTGGCAACTGCAAAAGTTTACACATATGTGGGTATTTTGATTTACTTACAGATATCGGAAAACATC